CGAACCCCTTTAAAAATTGCTTTTTGAAAGTGTCAATAAATGTTCCAACTATATTTTTTTAATACTATTATATTTATAAAAGCATATTACAACTGCGTATTATTATAGTAATTTGTAACACGCAGGTCCGTCGTCGTCCGACGGAGACCGCGCCGAAGGAAGGCGCCGTCGCGGCGGTGAAAGCGCCACCGCGAACTTGTGTCTTATTATTGTTTCTACACCACCGTACGTTTTGACTCGAGATTGTGGCCAATTTCCGAACAGACCCGACGAACGGCAAGTCATCGCCGTCGTGTGCCCAGTGGGTGGTCGTCCCGCGACGTCATAAACTCGTATGTATGTATGTATAGTCGTCGCAAGACGTCAGGTGCATGACAAGCACCGATGGACTGACGTCCGCGTGTTGTGAGTGCGTGTGTATGAGTATGTATGTGCATGTGTGAGTGTGTGAGTGGTGTGTGTGCGTGAGGCGCTAAACGCTAAACAATAGCGATCAGCCGACAATACGCGGCGGCAGTCCAGTTTGTATGCATAGGCATAGGTATAACTTCAGCGCGATGTCTTGTTGTCTCTGCTACAGTGGCGTAATTACAGGGTGGTATATGCGTGTAGAGCCAACGCCCTGTGGCTCCCCCAGAAGTTAATGCTTTTACACAATATTACCAATAATGATTTAGAAAAGATTAGAAAATTATCTTTTGTTCGAAATTTAAAGAAAAAATTGTGAGAATGTGATGTACCAGTATAGCTTATAGACAAATTCATAGTATTAAATATTAATACGATATACCTACACAATATACACCCAGGGCTGAACGATAATTTCAGAAGCAATTGCGTCTAAGATTTTTCTTAAATAGATAGTGGTGGGAGGTAGGTAGCCGGTGGGTAAACGTAATATGATATACCTACTCAAAATAGGTATAGTCAGGAACTGAGGAATATATTGGTATATTGTACGAGTATGTTTTTATAATTTGTCGATATAGATGTAACCATATCACAAAAATAGTATAGACTTTGGAAATAATTGAAAAGTGAACCCTGCAGCAGAACTTTTAATAATAAACGAAGGTTAGCTAAACTGAAAGCGAGAGAAAAAACTTTAATGGATATAAAATATGATTTATATTATATTATACATACTAAGTGTAGTACCTACATAAATAAAATGTTTCAAAAAACTTATTTTAAATTAGTTTGCTTTATTCTTATTATTTGTTTTTATATTTTTAAGATAAAGGCATCAACTCACCTACTATTTATTTTATTATAGATATATTTATCAAATATATATACATTATTGTATATAGGTACTAGGAAACATGTCTCAAATAAAAATGAATTTTTATAAAGACGTTTAAATAAATTAAAGATAATTTATTATAATACAATTAATACATAATGGGTTTGTAATAGTTTGCCATATTGTGTTACAATAAAAATTTGCAAAACACAGTTTATGGAATACATATAGGGTGATTCACCAAGCTGCACGTTCATCTCCATTTTTAAAATTATAATGCTGTTAGGTATCCAAAATCTGATTTTTTAAAATTTTTAAACATACTTAAAGACTTTTTATCAAATTCTTGAGTTTTTTGTACTAGGCAGGAGTGTACTGTGGCGATACAAACTTCTGTTTTATTTAGTGGGTAATTTTATTGAAAACTTTTATTTACCTTTTTCATAATTTGAACAATTTGTTTCCTAATAGTCGAAACGTTTTAAAAGCCATAAAAATGGAATTATAAAAATATATAATATATGTAATATTGGATCTAGTGTTTATTATACTTACGTCGTGAACCACTTTAACAAATTATAAATGTTGATAGATTAAAATTAATTGTTAACATTTTCAAGTCACCCTAGGCCATATATCCAAACCCATAGTGGCCATTATCATATACCTATAATTATCCTTAGCACACAAAGTTAAATAACTAAAAAATAACTACGAATTTTGATTTTGATATGTGAACAGAAAAATTATCCGCTAAATAATGTACAATATAAAAAGGAATTCTCATTTGAAAAACCGAATTTTGTATCTCCGTAGGATACTCCTTTAGTAGAATTAACTTAAGAATATGAAAATATACGGTATTTCAGTATATTTAAGAATTCCAAAAATCAGATTTTTACGAACTGCATAATTGAGGGGAAAGGGGGGGATGGTGAATCACCCTATTTATATTCCATAAATTTCATATGAAAATGATTATAATAATATCACGAATCATATGCTACAACTATAATACTAGGTATACACTATACATCATATATTAAATTACAACCTTTAATTAAATATAATATTATAATGATTTTGGTGGGTGTTTTTAGATTTCTATTACCGTATAATATATTGTATATTACGTAATTGAATTTATATTATTGTAATAATATAACCTATCCTAACCTATAGGTACCTATATATACAACTATACTATTTTTTTTTTAATTGTTACTAAATATCGAGTGTACTTGCATAACATTCGATAGGTACTCATTTAAAAATTACGTGTAATCACATTACCTACCATGCACTGTACTTTCGTAGATGTGCTATTTATATACCCCCTAACGAACCCTAAAAGTTGTTTGTGGTTACAAAAATTATTATAATATCCCTATATCGCACGACAGCACGACGCACATGTCACGCTGGCAGTGACGCAATTATAGCGGTCGCCGGTCGGCTCACTTTCCGGGTGGGAGCATTTAACAATACTCGAGTCCAAGGCAACGCAACGGGGAAAATAAATAATAATAATGTACAATATATGTGAATTATATGTTTTTTCAAGTACTGCGAATGCTCCTTAATTACGCCACGTCGCCACACCAGTACACCACTGTCTACGTGCGTCTATAAATATTTGTTTATTTAAATTTTATATTAATTATACATGTGCCAGGTAATAGCTACAGGTGCCTACTATATGCGTAAATGGATGTGCACTGGCACTGTCAATTAATTCACCGTCGGCTTCTTTATATCATGTGCATATAAGAATTATATTATCATCCTTGTTATAAATATCACGAATATGAATGTATTACATTTTATACCTGTGTGGATTTGTATATTATATATTTATATTACTGTTTTTATTTACATTTTAAAACAATTTGTTTTCAACTTTTAATTCGTTGTTTTGAACCTCACGTTTTATTTACTTTATAAAATATACAAGTAATTATTAACTATTTTCAAATTATTATACGTGTATAGCAAACATACGTTTATATAATATTTACTAATACGAATTTTGCGTGTAGGTATATACGTCTTATGTCGGTAATCGGTAGTCGGTGCCTATACATATAATAATATATTATGATGATGTTTTTTTTCTTAATTTGCAGAGTCATACACGCATACACGTAACTACCACTACCTAAGTAACATATCTTTTGTCATCCTACAAAAATAAAATTGTATGAAATCCAGTATTTTGCATAAGTAAAATATTATATATTGTTATTAAATAAGATGTGATGGCACAAGCAAAAAGTAAAAGAATTAGTAAAATTGTAAGTCCACAGTGCACTCATTCATAGACAGTGACCTATTATATTCGTGTATCTTATATTGTATACATAGAGCCATAGCGATTAGCGATCAAATTTTTGCAGCATTAAACCGTTTAAATTCTATGTGATCCTGTGTAAGTATAATTTGCATTAAATAGGTATTTGAACTGCAGACATTATATATTATGAATTTATGCATGTATAATGGATTACATCATCGTTATACATTCCGATTATATAGGTGCTTAATACCTATGATGTAAATATGTATGTTATTATGTTGTGTTTATATTCTATGTTTATAGATTTTGTGTAGAAGCTGAGTCTTGTATGTAATATTTTGTTTGTACTTTACAATCAATACGATGCAAATATTCATAAAAAGCTCTATATTATATTTTTTTATATAATATATTATATTATGTAGATAGTAGGTACCTATATTTATATTATTCGAGCGAAGTCCTTCTATGCTTCCTAATTCCTAATTTTACCTAAATAATGAAGTTAACAATATTACAATAATGTGCCTATTAAACGTATACCTTCTGCAATTAAATGATACACACAAGAAATTAAACTCACCAATTGGTAGTAATTAGACCATTGCACCTTGGTGTTTTAAACAAAATTGTATTTCGTATCGGTTTAAGTAGGTATATTGTAAATATATTTCAAGAGTTTTAAAAGTAAGTTTTACCAGAACTGCTACAAAACAATTTTAAAACCCCTTTTAGTTATTTCAATCAAATATGTATTGTTCTTGAATATATAATACTATATAGTGTAAAAATATCATTTAAGAGCTGAAGTACTTCCGAATGTATGATTACCCCTCTTCAGATTTGTATTACATAAATTTAATTTGTAATAAGTTATACATAATACATATATATAGCAGTTGGCACTATTATAATATTAAGTCATTAAATGTTGCGTGAATATTGCAAGGCGATGGAATTATACACTTATATACACTTACCCAAGGCCAAGGAAAACGTCAGTGAAATAAAAAAATGTAAAAGGATCCCGCGTATTGTATATAAGCTTTACAGATGTATATGGAAAAAAGGGGACGTTTTATTGGCCATGAAAATATCGGTGTATATAAATTTTATCCGAACACGTCGAAGACAATATTAAATAATTCATCTTGTAAAATCTGACGGGTTTATTGTCAACGTCAAAGGTTAATCTGCCGCTAAGTCTTTTAGATAACAACGGTGCCGTGGGCCTTTGACTGTCGGTCAATATAGGTGTGCGAACGGGTGGTGTGGTTGAATATATCTATACACATAAAGGCTTTTCATATTATATTCATATATATATACACACACACACACACACATACATAGACACCACGTTGGCAAGTGAATGGGTGAGGGGTGGGCAGGTGAGGGCGTCGCAAAGGTCGATCATACCACGGTATTACACCGTGTCGCCTGGCAACCAAAGTCCGGTCACCATGGTGACAGCGATTTATTCGCCGGCCACACGCACGCACCATGGTTCGGGTCAAGTGCACTCGAGTGCCGACCTCTTCTCCACCCGCCCACACCGACGCTGCCGCCACCGCACGTCGTTTCCCCTGCAACTTTCTCGGGACCACTCGACTTGATCGTCGTTGCCAATTTCTCTCTTTTCCTTCCACCATTCCTCCACTCACAACAATCTCCCATCCTCTCTCACGCGTACACGCTATATATATATATATATAATATATACATGGTCTTGTGTTTTATTTTTTAATAATTTCACTCCCCTTCTGACTTTTTGTCTAACGCTTTTTTTCTCTTTCTTTCTTTTTTTATCATCGTCGCATCACACGCATAATAGCCCCGGAGGTCTCCTTGAAAAATGTTTTTGGCCTTGTCATCTTTTTGCGTACGGTATTTTTTGGTTTTTTTTGTCGAGTAAGATATCCGAGTACTCTTAAAAAATAATTTTAATCTAACGCACATCTGTTTTGACATTGTAATTAGGCTTATACATTCGAATACATAATATAGTAAGTATATAATAAACACATTTTTCATCTCTTTTGAAATGTACCTAGTATAAATGCATGAGAATAAGACTAATACTTTATTTTTTTCTCAACATTATGAGTTATGTGTACCTACCTTTATATTTTTAAGTTTTAAATAGTTGTATTCCTTTAAAATAAACACCAGTTTATTTTTTAAGTTGTGTTTTAAAGTAATTTACAGGATATTGATCGATTGTAGCTTTATTTTCTGGATTAATATAGGTAACCTGCAATGAATAAAAATACTTAATTTAAATGTAAAATAAAAAAAATTACCACATAAACAAAAGTCGGAAGTCAATTATAAGGATTATTTTATATTATTGACAAGTGGAAACTATTGAAGAAAAATATATTTCCACGAAAAAAACATTAATTTAACAAAACAAACAATTGTTATAGGTACGCTCATTTTAAATATAATATGCTATAGATAGTAAATAGTAGGAATAATACTATAAATATACTTTAACAAAGAATAAATACTCAAATATTAAATAATATGAAATATTAAATATTATTCCATACTACGAAATACTGTACCCATATAAAAAAAAAATAATGTGTAATAGGCATACAATATTCATTTTAAAGCATATTAAGAACATATTTATGTTTTAATATTTCTATTAAATATTTTCAGAATTAGAAAACCTAATAGATTTATAGATTTAAGCCATTATTTCGTTTACTATTATAATTGTAGTACCTATATGGCTATATATGGTTAACTAGGTATTTCAGTATTTAATTATTTTAATTACCTCATTAGGTATGCTAATTTGTAAATTATTCGTAAAATCAAACAAAGTATTTCAGAACAATTTATTCTAAAATAATGTTATTTGTATAAATATTTTAAACCTTAATAATATACTAAAATATTGTTTTATGTACTTATTATTATACTGAAATTGTTTATAAAGACATTTAATAAGTACGGAACCAATAATTATATAGTAGCTACTCGTTTTATTCAATATATTTGTCTTCTAATTTCTATGAATAGTTTGAGCTACAAGAATTTGTTTTAACTGATGTTTACTGATTTCACTGGTAAAATAAGTCCATTAATAATAATTAGTGATATAGTTAATTCAACTATAACTAGTAATTCACTATTAATCGTATTTCATTCCATAACATTATTAATATATACATTTATTATTTAATTACAATCAAAAACAAATGGTTAATCAAAAATGATATTATACTAATATAATATATGAACACTATTTGTATAATATTATATATTATAATACATATTATACGCGAACAATGTGAAATGCGGTTACCTTTATTATGTAAAACTGTACCACTCACACTATACAACATATATATATATATATACATACATGTACAATGCGCATCTTATAGTATATATATATATATATATATATATATATTTTATACTGACGATGTACTTGAAAATATTGGCGGGAAACGCCTGGAGCACTTCCACTGCTACCGGCGTCGTACCATACAATACAGCGACTACACAATTTACACACATTTATATCGTAGGTACCTATACGGTATAAAGTCACGGCGGGGGTGAACTGCAGTGCAAAGGCTCTCGAGAAAGAGCCCAATTATATATACGCGACGATAGACGCTTGTGTTTTACACGGTTTGTGTATTACGTGACTGCCTACTAAAATGCCCTCGGTCACGTACAGCAATAATTAAACAATGCTGCAGCGGTGCGACCCCGAGTGTAATTATTATTATTATTATTATTATTATTATTATTATTATGATTGCGTGGTGGTGGTCTCCCTTTGACGGTCTGTCGACTGTCGTGTAGTAGTACGCGACGAGCACCGCGAGGGTTTTTTTTTGTTCTCGCGGGTCACTCGACAGCCGACGACGACGTTGAAATGTTGAATACGTATCGTGCTGCAGCAGACGCCGGTGCAGCTTCTGACTTTATAATATAATATATATATGAATTTATCACGAGACGGGTATTCGAGTACCTACTTATTCGTTTTGTGACTTTCCGTTTTCGGAAAAGCGCGAGAACAAAAAGTTACCAAGCTCAAAGGGTGTTGTTTAAATTCTTTTAACATCCTTTATTCATTTTTTTTTTCGTACCAATATAATAATATAGAATAGGTACAACTGCTGTTAATTTGTATTATGCGTGCTTCTACCTCCTATATACACATAGAAACAATACAGGCATTATACGCCGGATGAAATACACAAAAAAGTGTCGCTGCTTACAAATTTAGTCTATGTACAGAAATTCGAACTGAGAAAGTCAGCAACGAAGTCTACCGACACTTCACCAGTAGGTACACCCGACAATTCTATAGCACCACAATAATTCGTACTATTATACATATTATACAAGTAGTCTCCGCCAAAAAAATACGAATAACCGTTGGTTTTAAAATAACCATCGGTGTCTGATGCTGTCCGTTATTATGATTATCATTATTGCTGTCTGCGCCTCGAACACATTGTTGGAGCCACACGCATACAATCACAATTGTGCATCTACGTCTATATTATATTATTATATACGTGTGTGTGAGTGTGTATGATGTACGTGTAGTTCTAAACGCACGGACAAACGTGACTTGCACCCGATTTTTTTTCTCATAAGGGGACCGGCACAGAGCGTGATTTTGACACGTCGTTTTCCATTGTATTGTTCCGTCGACAGGTCTGCGGACACAAATCCCCGTTCTCGTAGAATGTGTAAAAATATATGATATTCCTGGTTATATTATACTCCGCGTTTCCGATCACCCACCGGATATGATATTATTATATTATTATCATATTGATTTTGTTTGAAATTTTTCGATTAACAGCACGCCTAATGTTTGAACATATCGTAAATAATAAATATACATGTACATATGTGCAGTATAATGTATATGGTATATCGACATTGTAGGTACCTACATTAATACAAATTTTGTACACGACATAATATACTATCATGTTTGCACCTGTACGCTGTAGGTAGGTACCTATATTATAATATTATAACTATAGGGCCCGAATGTTGATGACTTTTACATCTTTTTTTTGTAACATCATAAACGATGCTTTCCTAGCTTCAAATGTAGTTTAATAACATTCATATCAAATACTGTCCTTATAACTAAATTTTTTTTTTGTTTGAAGTTTTAGAGAATTTTTTACTCTTATAACAGTAGAGAGAATTACGAATTAAATATTTTTATATTTTCCACAAATCAAAAAAAAATAACACAAATTTATTATTTTTAATATCTGTAAGTTTAAATATAAAAAGTATGACTATACCCTGTTCAAAATAAGAAGCGACCTGATTTACGCTTGAAAACCGGTTTTACTAGTGGCCGCCTGAATCGCTTCTTAAAATGAACAGACTATAGAAATTGTAATTTTTAATTTTAAAATCAATAAATAATTTTGTTAAATTCAACAGTTTATGACCGTTTTTTTTTTAAGAATTTAGGTTATTAACATATTCAATTTTTAGGCCATTTTTTGTGTTTTTTATGTCATAAATGCATTTTTATGGTTTTTAGTGCATCAACGTCCGGGCCCTGATTATAACAGATAAACAATATTATTGAGTGATGATTTTAAATAAAACAATTTAATCGTTTGACAGTACTATTGAAATATGCACGTTTATTTAAACATCGTCTGTTTTGTCTACTGAGTTACAGCCGCCTGCAAGTAAATTGTGAATTTGTGCAACACTTAAATAAAAAAAAAGGTGGGTAAGTGGATGTCACTCTGCTGTACAGTAGGTTACAAGTGGGTCACTGTATAATGGATGCTATTAAATTTGAATTCAATGATTCAATATCCTTGTATAAGAAAAACGATTCTGAGCGAAGACGGTATGTCAGTCTAGGTTTAAGACAAATTATATACATATCTATGGTATTAAAAAAAAAATTGAAATTTAATAAATTCCAAATTAATCATATCACATTATCACAATATCCATTAGGTACTTATAACACGTTATACATCAACATCAATAACAAACCCTGATACTATCATAGATATATAATAGTACACTTTAGAAGTTTCAAGTAGGTACCAACGAAAAATATTATATAATCACAACAAAATAACTAGGTTTTTTAATATGTAATTTCGTCCAAATTTGAACATAAAATGACTATAAAAATAAACTGTGATTGTATATTTTTTAGATTTTTCGGTAAGAGAATTAGCTACTTACGTGGAATCTTGTTTTAAATTTTCAATCCTTAGCTATAAAAACTGAACATTTTATAATTTATTAATTACGATGATTAATAATTTTCGAGATTTTGAAGAATTCTGTCAAAATTCGATGTTTAAATGCTTATAAAAAAAATTGTGCTTATGTATTTTTAAAATTTTTCAATTGCTATTGTAACAATCTATCAGGATCCTTGTATTAAATTTTTACACTTTTTGGCCCAACAAATAAAACTGATTTATATTCATAGAAAAAAAAACTAAAACAATTTAAAAATGAAAATATCCGTAAACAGCTCAAAAAGAGTCGAAATATTTTCAAAATTGTATGGTGTATAGGAAATGCTTATATAAACATTCAGTGAAATTTACATGTATCTATAGTTATTCGTTTATGAATAACAACAAAATAAGGAAATCGCTACATGAGAAATCCAGTGAACA